CTAAGCTAGAAGCTTTATATGGGTTAAATTTTTATTCTACTGATATCAAATAAGGTACAGTTCTGGCCTCCCCAAATCATGCACTTTTTTGTAGGGCTGAGTGGCGGATGGACCGTTAAAACAATCCAAACGAGCGCCACAAAAATTCCATACTGAATCCTGCGGGAGTTTGGTACGTGGGTTTTGTACCGGCCTTTCTGGATTGCATAACATCCAGTAAAGTTTTGGGAAATTTGAGTTTTCGTGCAAGGCTTTTGCTTTGCCCATTCCATGTAGATAACAAGTCTTTTAGAATAGTTATTTCCTGTAGAGATGATTATTTCCTATTAGACGGATCGGAGATTACTATGGTTAGTGCCTCTGCATGACGACTTGATGGGTCGCATGTTGGCATGGCTGGTTGGCAATGATGGCTTTATGGGCCACAAAGTTGTCAATCGGTTTGGACGACAACAAGCCTGTCGCTTGTCTGATGTCATTGCAATTCTCATGATCGACAATCAGGTGAAATTTATGACGATCGATGATGATGAGTATTTTTTTGATTTTTGTGTCAGTCTGCCCCCAGTCGTGTCGAAGGGAGTGTCTGCCATGCGTGCAGTACAAAGGATAATCTGTCCCAAAGCACCCCGGAGCTTAGAAGGCTATAACTCACGAGCAAAGTGTTCTTTTTTAATGCGACCTGGACAAGATTAAAGCTAAGGATCTAAGCTAGAAGCTTTATATGGGTTAAATTTTTATTCTACTGATATCAAATAAGGTACAGTTCTGGCCTCCCCAAATCATGCACTTTTTTGTAGGGCTGAGTGGCGGATGGACCGTTAAAACAATCCAAACGAGCGCCACAAAAATTCCATACTGAATCCTGCGGGAGTTTGGTACGTGGGTTTTGTACCGGCCTTTCTGGATTGCATAACATCCAGTAAAGTTTTGGGAAATTTGAGTTTTCGTGCAAGGCTTTTGCTTTGCCCATTCCATGTAGATAACAAGTCTTTTAGAATAGTTATTTCCTGTAGAGATGATTATTTCCTATTAGACGGATCGGAGATTACTATGGTTAGTGCCTCTGCATGACGACTTGATGGGTCGCATGTTGGCATGGCTGGTTGGCAATGATGGCTTTATGGGCCACAAAGTTGTCAATCGGTTTGGACGACAACAAGCCTGTCGCTTGTCTGATGTCATTGCAATTCTCATGATCGACAATCAGGTGAAATTTATGACGATCGATGATGATGAGTATTTTTTTGATTTTTGTGTCAGTCTGCCCCCAGTCGTGTCGAAGGGAGTGTCTGCCATGCGTGCAGTACAAAGGATAATCTGTCCCAAAGCACCCCGGAGCTTAGAAGGCTATAACTCACGAGCAAAGTGTTCTTTTTTAATGCGACCTGGACAAGATTAAAGCTAAGGATCTAAGCTAGAAGCTTTATATGGGTTAAATTTTTATTCTACTGATATCAAATAAGGTACAGTTCTGGCCTCCCCAAATCATGCACTTTTTTGTAGGGCTGAGTGGCGGATGGACCGTTAAAACAATCCAAACGAGCGCCACAAAAATTCCATACTGAATCCTGCGGGAGTTTGGTACGTGGGTTTTGTACCGGCCTTTCTGGATTGCATAACATCCAGTAAAGTTTTGGGAAATTTGAGTTTTCGTGCAAGGCTTTTGCTTTGCCCATTCCATGTAGATAACAAGTCTTTTAGAATAGTTATTTCCTGTAGAGATGATTATTTCCTATTAGACGGATCGGAGATTACTATGGTTAGTGCCTCTGCATGACGACTTGATGGGTCGCATGTTGGCATGGCTGGTTGGCAATGATGGCTTTATGGGCCACAAAGTTGTCAATCGGTTTGGACGACAACAAGCCTGTCGCTTGTCTGATGTCATTGCAATTCTCATGATCGACAATCAGGTGAAATTTATGACGATCGATGATGATGAGTATTTTTTTGATTTTTGTGTCAGTCTGCCCCCAGTCGTGTCGAAGGGAGTGTCTGCCATGCGTGCAGTACAAAGGATAATCTGTCCCAAAGCACCCCGGAGCTTAGAAGGCTATAACTCACGAGCAAAGTGTTCTTTTTTAATGCGACCTGGACAAGATTAAAGCTAAGGATCTAAGCTAGAAGCTTTATATGGGTTAAATTTTTATTCTACTGATATCAAATAAGGTACAGTTCTGGCCTCCCCAAATCATGCACTTTTTTGTAGGGCTGAGTGGCGGATGGACCGTTAAAACAATCCAAACGAGCGCCACAAAAATTCCATACTGAATCCTGCGGGAGTTTGGTACGTGGGTTTTGTACCGGCCTTTCTGGATTGCATAACATCCAGTAAAGTTTTGGGAAATTTGAGTTTTCGTGCAAGGCTTTTGCTTTGCCCATTCCATGTAGATAACAAGTCTTTTAGAATAGTTATTTCCTGTAGAGATGATTATTTCCTATTAGACGGATCGGAGATTACTATGGTTAGTGCCTCTGCATGACGACTTGATGGGTCGCATGTTGGCATGGCTGGTTGGCAATGATGGCTTTATGGGCCACAAAGTTGTCAATCGGTTTGGACGACAACAAGCCTGTCGCTTGTCTGATGTCCGCCAGAACCGAAATCCAACTGTCGGACTCCAGCGCAATTTAAACGCAATGTCGTCATTACTGGCTCCACCACGTTGAAGGCAAACTGCGGCAGTGATTCGGTTGGAATGAGGCTGGATGAGATGTTTGTTGCATTGCATGTAGTGATTTTTATCTGGGTAGGCCAGATCCACTGAATGCTGCATCACTTTTCGAACATCAGAGTCGCGTAGAAATCGGTAGGTGCTGCCATTAGTACTGAATACCCCCATTGGTTCAACAGACGGAACCTTCAAAAGGTGGCATCGATGGACTATACTCACTGCAGCATCTATCGGATCAAAAATCGGGTGTGACGTCAGGCAAAATCGACGGATGGTGAAGTTGTTGGCACTCTTGTCATAGCGCCAACAAATCTCCAACTCACTGCAGCATCTATCGGATCAAAAATCGGGTGTGACGTCAGGCAAAATCGACGGATGGTGAAGTTGTTGGCACTCTTGTCATAGCGCCAACAAATCTCCAACTCCAGAATCTCCCCTTTTAAATGTCGACAGAATACCAAATGATGTGGGACCAAACAGTGATTGCGATCATAGAAGCGGAAATCATCCGGAATGAACGCCAGTGGTGTATTGCAAAACTCTTCGGGGATGAAAGCAGATGCAGGGCTAAGAAGGGATGATATCGGCGTCCTTTGCCAGAGGAATGCGGGTCATATATATCAATGGAATGGTCCTGAACGACCTCAAGCCAACAATGAGCAGCAGACAGGTAATTTGTCATGGTCTGCGCACTCAAATCAGTGAACTTGTCCAAATTGTTGCCACGCTGGACTGCATGCAAATAGGTACCCAGAAGTCTGAGAGTGTCAGCCCAGTCTAATCCTCGTAAATAGTGCTCGGAGCATTCCATGTCCTCGCAGAAGCGGGCAAAGTGCGCAGCTCGAGACTCAAAAGATTGGTCGTTATTTGATCGTACCGTACCGCGGTTGATTGTGATGAAATCACGGACGCAATTGTTGAAAGCAGCTCGAAGGGGACTAGGCAAATGCGACAGTCGTCCAACTGGGACCATTGCGCGATAACGGAGTCCAGAACATTTTGCTCTGGATTGGCGCTTGTGGGGGGGCGACTTAAGGCATCCGCCACGTCGTTCTGATCGCCTGGCAAATGTCGCTTAACAACCTTGGTTAGTAAAGCTGCAGCATGAACAAGCAGTGCTGCGCCCAAACGGGCAAGTCCTTGTAACAACGGATTTTTGGTGCGAGCGGCAAGAGACATCCACCCCAATGCAGTGGTGTTGTCCGCCAACAGAAGCAGAATGTAGCCCCCCAAACGGGGTCCCAATTTCTTCACAAATTTCAAAACAATCCAAAGGTTCACCAGAACACCAATGAATTCCAAAGGATTGATATGGAGACCTTCATTGGAGCCATCCGAAACAGGTTCGGAAGACGCCAAATCAATGTCACGCATATCAAATCCAGCACGTATAAGGTCCTCGCGACAAAGGCGCCAAAGGAAACCAAAATCAGAACTCCATCCACCAATTCCAGCATAGCTAGCATCCGAAAACACTCGGTGTGAAAAATCACGGTCCAAATAGAGGGAAATGGGACGCGACCACAATGGACTTCCTTCAGGAACAGTAAGTGTTTCCCAAATCTGATGCAATGTTGCAATAGCAACTCCCGAAAGATAGATCCAAGATCGAGTCCACCAAGAGCGATTCGTAGAATGTGCATTTCTTGCAGCTGTTGTCAGTGCATTTTGTAAATTAAAACTAAGAAACGTCCCCCATGGGGCAATGGCCGCCGCCGATCGAATCACACCAATAATGTGAGCCATCTCTTTGGGAGTTACATATTTCCGTTTTTGAGAAAGAATATCCTGGATTTCACCATCCAGTGCTTTCCGTTTTGCAAAAGGCCAAGAAACGGTCATAGCATGGGTGTCAATCCGGAATCCAAGAAAAAGAAATGTCTCGGAAACAAGAGAAGTCCACTTAGCATCCTGAAGACAGCCACCTCGACGATCTGCATCACCAAAGACTTCAAAAGCTGACCTGACGCTGTGTTGGAGTGCCTGCGGCATCGTTTTCAAATATGCCACCACGCCATTATCATCCACAAAGCTCGCATTGTACATTTCAGTTTGCTCCTGCAAAGTGAGTGGAGGATATCTCGAATCTGGAGGCACCTGTACAAGAGGAGAGGAAGTATCTACCTCATAGGTGCAGGAAGCGACCAATGGATGAAGAATAGGCTCATCCTGCCGACAAGCCGCCAATGCTTGGCTGACATCAACAAGTACACAGTAGTAGGAAGGCGCACTCCGAGAACCAAAAACTTGACCCACTGGAACCATCAGATAATCAGAATAAACATATGCAAAAGCACACGCCATATTGGGATGATAGAGCACTCATCGAAACGCAGCTTCTATATCATCCGCATGGACCATAATGGGATCATTTGGGCGAGTGATGCGCATCCTGAGGACTTGATGCAAGAAGCGATCAAACGCATATTGGCAGTACACTGCAGGGCATTCATCCTCCTCACCGGGAATAGCATCTTTCGGAGATGGAATGTAAAGATTGATGGAACCTAACGAATTAGGACCATTGGAGCAATCAATACAGATTCGACCCTTTCCTTTATCAAAGACGCACCGAATCGGATTGATGACCAAGCCCGGGAGAAATTCATAGACAAATCGCAGGTAGTGGATGTGGTAGGAGTTCCACTCCTCCTTTGCAAATTTCTTCTCAACCGCGGCCAAGCTAGAACCCACCGCTGGGTGGTTATCATATTCGTTTTGTAGAAGTGTTGCCTCCATAGGCGTAGTACATTGTCCACGGAGAGGAACACCTTCAGTTTGAATACAATACGCCATGTCCAATTTTGTAGGTGGAAGATCTGATGGGAGCACCTTTGACTTCAAATGGGATTCGATTACATCCCATTCAAGATTGAAGTCACGCCCTTCGTTGGTATATTCACCGCCGAGCCAGCGAACAAAATCACCATGATTGAAATCAAACCGTAGCAACGCGGCTGAATTCAGCCATGCTTGATGTTGATCCAACGTAGTGGGAACCTTTTCATCAGCCATCAAGAGACGTGGAAGTTGCAATGACTTGAGAGAAGTAACACATGCAAAAGGGCGCAACTCTGCATACTTTTTCCAAACAAGAGATGCCTGCATTGCCGTAAGTTGATCATCAGCGGAAAGATATGGCCGAGCAAAATGGATCATAGACCGTGGATTAACCACATCATGATTCCAACCGCGGTCTTTCGAAGCCTGGCCAAAACCATAGAGTCGTTTCTTGATGGGATTGCATGGAGGTGCAATCCAAGTATTCAACACCATGGAATGGGGTGCAAGATGACGGTGCGCCACAGTCAAAGTATGGATAGTACAAGCATCAAGAAAACCACTAGCTTGAACATGGACAGCAATATCCATAAAATCCACAGTGTCATTCCACGCTGTGGGTCGCCGATCCAAAGGTGGTCGGGCGCCCTCTACCACCAATGACCAGTCCATCCGCCAAGGGACTGACCGCCTCCGCCTTTCCTTCTTCTGCTCCCTTTTTGTCAAAGTCCGAGTCCGTTTTGATGGGAACCTTTGTCGAAACATCCTCTTCACACGGCAATCCAATGGAATTGGAATGCATGTCGCCGTAAGAGATTCTTTTTCCAGAAGTCGTGCACCTTCCGGAAAAAGTGGGTCTCACGGAGCCCATTTTGCACTTGTTGTCAGTCCTTTGAACCAATCAG